AGTGTAGTGTTGCTCCGAGGTTGAAGTGCTCCAGAGATGTCTTAGGGTGCAGCTCTTTGTCCTTCCCAGCTGTGCTCCTGGCCTGCTGACCCCTTTGCACTCTGAGAAAGTTGAGGTGGGGAGCCTGCGACCTATAAAATTAATGAGAACAAGGAGAAAGGAGGACAACCCTACAGTCCCCCTTTCCTCCGTTGGCTTCCTCCCTGCGGTGTGTCCCTGAGGTCTAGGCTGGGGAGGGTCTAGGCCGAGGTACGGCAACAGTTGTGGCGCGGCCGCATGCTCAAAAGTCCGGTCTAAGGGCAAAGGCAGAAGGAGAAGGCTCAAGGCTTGCAGTCTCTCTTCCATTTCTCCTCCCTGCCTGGCTTTTGTATTGGTGACTCGGAGCTGCGGGGAGGGTGTGTTGGAGGAGGAGAAGGTAGACGTGGGTGAGAAGCACCCCTGCGCGCGCGCACACACACGCACGGCCCCACACTCACAGACACATACTCACGGACACGCGCGCGCGCGCGCGCACACAAAGCTCGCTCATCTCGAACGCATTAACGTGGCTGTTTTCTTTGTGTGGAGCCCACGAGGGGGGTTGGGGCCACAGTCAGGTTCCGGGGAGATGGCGCAGCCCATCCTGGGCCGTGGGAGCCTGCAGCCCACCTCGGCAGCTGGCCTGGCGTCCCTGGAGCTTGATTCATCGCTGGACCAGTACGTGCAGATTCGCATCTTCAAAATCATCGTGATTGGGGACTCCAACGTGGGCAAGACCTGCCTAACCTTCCGTTTCTGCGGGGGGACATTCCCGGACAAGACTGAGGCCACCATTGGCGTGGACTTCAGGGAGAAGACTGTGGAAATCGAGGGCGAGAAGATCAAGGTGATTCAGACGGTCAGGTTCAGGAAGGGAGGGCTCTGGGAGGGAGCCTTGCCTGAGGCATACTCTAGTGTTTGTGAATGGTCCTGTACTTGACTGTGTGGCCCCATGCTGAGCCCAAGACCCTTGGCACCTCCTCATCCCCTTTAGTCTCTCTCAGGGGCCCAGTTCCCACCTTACCTTTTTTTTTTTTTCCTTCCTGGCGGGCCAGACTAGGTGCATTCATCCCCTCTGCCCCTGCCTGGCAGCTCCTGCCAGAAAAAGCATATGTGATCCCATCCCTAACCTTGAGCCAGGAGCAGTGGCACCTGTGGGCAGAGGGAAATAGGAGGGAACCCAGTTCTGGTCTGTGGGATGGACCCCAAAGCAATCTTGAGGTCTCTTTTACCTCTTGGTTGCCAGTAGGCTCCCAAATCCCATTTTGTTAAGCTCCAAGGCATTAGAAAGGGAGGAAATGATGGAAATCCATAGAGAATTACAGTTTATGGTTAAGATTAGGGCCGCGCTTGAATAAGGGTGGAGTTTGAGTGGTTCTGGCACAAAGTCATGAGACCTTTTAAAGAAATTGAGACAGGGTCACATGCCAGCCCTTCGTTCTAGACAAAACTTGTTCTTTTGGAACAGTCCCCCTCAAATGATATCTTCTTTATTTGTCTGGGGTACCTAATGCCATTACTCATTCTGTTGGTATTGTCTTTGGCAGGCCTTTGTAAAAATGCAGAGCAACTTACATGAGGGCCAAGGGAAGTGTCTTAGTCCTACCATCTCATTGTTTTATGAAGTAGGCTAAGTACAGATATTCTTGTCTGACCATTTGTACTCAGTTTTGGTTCAGAAAAGGTGGAAAATCGATATGACAGGAATATTTCAATGTACAGAGCATAGGGGGAGGGAAGACATGACAAGAGCAGCTTCATGTGTCAGGGGAACAGAGTGAGGCAGGGTTAAGGTCAGGAAAGTCACCTCAAAAGTCACTGGGCACTAAAGACCAACTCCACTAGACCCACAGCTGGCCTTTTCTTGAGCCTATGGTCTGATCCTGTCTGGCGAAGATAAACCTCCCTCCTGCTGGTCAAGCAGCCCAAATGACCACAAGGCCAAATCTACAGAGTGATGTGGAACGAAGGGTTAAGTAACTGGGGAGAATGATAAAATACGGTAAAATGTGCAAGACTCCTGACTCCGTGATTATTAAAATGAATGTGTTTTAAAAGGGCTTCAGAAACCTGGCCAAGGAACTAGATGTGTCAGGAAGATGGGCTGGTAACGGAGGGCTCTCGAGAACAACTGAGCCCCAGAGTTGGGAATATAGGATGCTGTTTTGAAATAGTAATCTTTTTTGCTTCTTGCATTTTGGGGGGAATTACTACATTTCCTTTTTAAAGTCAAAGTAGGTATCTGTCTCCTTTCCCAGGACTTTATGTTGATATTTGCTTGGTTAGGACTTTCTCTAGTGTGTCTAGCTTCTTAAATATAAGGTTGTAAGATTTTGAAATTTCAAAAGCATGCCTTTTTTAATCCAAAGTAGAAATGTACTTATGGATGTGCTCTTAAACCCTCAAGACCCTTAAAATTTGATTCTATTGCCTGTTTAAAATCAAGTGTTGCATTGAGCCAAATGGCTCTCTTGGATTTATTTATTTATTATTTATTTTTAATGCCTACAGCACCTGGTATTCCTAGGTGATCTCTCATCCAAGTACTAACCAGGCCCATCCCTGCTTAGCTTCCGAGATCAGACAAGATTGGGCACATTCAGGATGGCATGACTGTAGACTCTTTCTTGGATTTAAGAGAGAGGAAATAAATCTGCCTGAAATTCACATGGAGGAAAAAGGAAGTATTTGAGAGTCTGGGGGAGAAGGGAAGAGGAAGTTAGAAAGTGGAAAATGGGAGGTGAAAATGAGTGGAAGAAAGTTACTACCCAATGACCTCGAGGAAATTTTAAAAAGATTCCCTCCCTTCCAACAGCCCAGTACTTAGCCAGACTGGATTTTATGGTCTCTTCCAGATTCCAGACTTTTTCCCAGGGGGCAGAGCCTGTAACAGTGTAACTCACTAAAAATGGAGCTCAACAGGACACCATAGGCAGAAGAGTACACAATACAGGCTTTTTAGGGGAAGATGATATTTTCAAGAGGGCCTTGTAACACCAGTGACATAAAGGAGCCCTCCGAGAGTAGATTCTGAAGGAGCTCACTCAGGGTGGGGTGTGGGAGTGGGGAGATGGTGACCCTGCCTCTTGTAAAGCTGCTGCAACCTTAAGGCCAAAGCCAGCAGGAGAGACCAGCATGTCCATGGGAAGATGGCAGAGCATGGCAGTGAGCACATGATCTCGATAGAAAATTTGGCCCCACACTCCAGCTGGCCTAGAGTTTCTCAAGGAACAAGTATCAAAATCACGCTAGGAGGTGACTGCCAAAAGCTTCTCCCTTTGGGGGAGAGAGTAAAGTCCAGTGTGCCAGGCTGAGGTAGCCCTAGACCATAGCCAGCAACAGAAGGCTGTCAGGCTATAAATGCCAGCCCTCACAGGAGAGTGGAGAGAGGGCTCAGTGAGCTCTTCTCTCAGTCCAAGAGTAGGGTATGGCCTCTCCTGGGCTGCCTCCCTATATCACAGGGTAGCATACAGGTCAATCCCTGCAGGGGGATGACTGATTTAGCATACTTGGGGCTACTTTCTTAATTACTAGGGCCATCCCTAGGGCTTTGAAACCCCATTTGGTCTTTCTATTCAATGTGTCCTCACTCCCTCCCCATCACAACATTTATAATCCAGTGTTTACTGGTTAACATCATCAAGAAAAGCCTCCTGTGAGTCAATGGTAATAATAATAACAACTTCTGTTTTTGATTAAACAAAGAGCCCAAGCTAGGCACTTTTCATGCACTATCTTATTTGATCTTCACAGCAGCCTGTGAAATTAGGACTACTATTATCATTCCGTTTTATAAATAAGGAGACCAAAGTAGAGAGCTTAAATAAATATGCCTAAAGGCGTATGGATCTGAGCTTCAGTCTATGACCCTTGAGCCTAACTAAACACTTCACCATCTCATTATCGTGCTTTCCCTGTGATAGGGCCAAGATCTCACCCTGGATTCAGAGCCCATGCTCTCTACCACTGCACTCTACTGGAGGGGGCAATATCTGGCCTCAGGGGTGGGGGAAGGGGGAGGTGGCATACTGGGCAGCCAGCCTGGTGGTCTCTTCTAGGCCAAGAGTCCAGGGTTATAACTCCAGGACCCAGGAGACTTCAAGATGTCTCACTTGAAGTCAACTGCACCCCAGACACTGAGCTGAGTACTTAAGTTTTACTTTTTGCATCTTTTTTTTTGGAGGGTGGTGTGGGATCAAATCATTTTATCAAGGGCCTTCTGGGAAGGGTCAAAGAGCTGGGAGGACAATGAAATCTGACTTCTTCTGCCAGGCCGGGATCTCTTCAACTTCATAGCCACTGAAAGCTACATTTTGCATCTGGACTGTCTCAACTTGGGTGTGAGGATCAGAGAATGTTCAAAGATGGAAGAGACCTTAAAGAATCTTTAATCTGACATCCTCATTTTACAGATAGGAAACTGAGGTTCAGAGAGAGGAAGTGACTTCCCAAGATCACAAGACCAGGCCTACAGCTCAGGTCTCCTAATTCCCGTTTTGGCGCTCTTTCCATATAAATCTCTTTTCTGAGCTTGTTCCATGGTCCATCCTGTGATAGAGATGAGGAGAGACATCATATGGGAAAGCTGGCAGTCCTTCCTGACATCAGCCTAGGAAGGGTGGAGGCATCTCCCGATCCCCAAAGGAAGGGTGGAGCTTCCCTTAATGAATACTGTGAGTCTGTCTCCTAAATCATACTGAGCCTGTCTCAGACTAAAAACACTGGAAAACACCAAATAGGAGTGTGTGGGAGGTGGGATGAAGGAGGTATCAGAGGGGAGGCTCAGAAATAATTTTTGAGCCATTCTTTGTAAATTCTCATGGAAGCACCCTCTCTTGCCTAGTCTGGTCCTTCCACAGGCTGGGCACACCCTCAGCCCCAGCCCACCCAACTGGGCAAACTGTAGGTCAGCCTTGGCTGTGGGCAGGTGCCACCCAGTTTTGCAGATTTCTCTTCCTCTGCTGATCACTTGGCCTCCAAGAAAAGGACATTCATGCCTCATCTACAGAAAGATGCCAGATATGTTCCCTAGGGAAAAGAAATACTTGTGTCAGCTATGAGCACGTGCAGGGGGTAGAAGACTTGCTGAAGCTTGCTCAGGCTGTGGTAGCCCCAGGAAAATGTTTTAAAAAGGCTAGATTAATCTTTGGTAGACCCCACACTGTGCCCTCTGACCCTCCTTCAGCATCTCCATCACTTTGGACCCCTCCCGAGCCACACATGGCAGGTTGCTAACATTCCTCTCTTCTCCCCCTCCCCATAGACTGTTTTTGCCTTGGCTCTATCTCATTGTCAGGAAGCCAAGCTTTCTGTGCTTTTCAGGAGGAGAATCAATGGGTCCTAGGAGTAGTGCTACCAGGGCAGGGCTGATGGGCCTTCTGAGACAATGACAACTACTAACATTTGCATAGCACTTTATATTTTGCAAAAGCTCTTTCTCGTGTGTTATTTCATTGGTTTAGTCATTCGCTTAGCAACTAAGTGGAGGAGCTGGAACCCAGGTTTCTGAATTCCAGAGCCACTACTGCATTTCAACAGTGCCTGCTCAACTACTCGTTGGGCCAGACTTGATGGTAGAGGTTTCAGGCCAGAGAGGGAGAAAGAGTG